TTGCATTGGGGTGGACTGCTCATTATGAAACAATTTTCCTTGGGTAAATGGTGGCTCAATTATCCTTAAAATTAAAAATTATATAATTGTATCTGAATAAATATGCCCTACACAATTTAGAAGTACATGGGCTTAGCAGGTTTCTACCAGTGTACCTGGCATAAATCATCCGCACAGAGACCTACTAAAAATGTTCACATCAGAAAGCAATTATTACTACTTAACATATAACTACTTAAGATATAACTACTTAACATTTATTAAAACATTATTATTATTATATTCATTAGAATTACATTCTATGAGGGCAAATGTTTTTGTCTGCATTTTCATTACTTTGTCCCAAAACTTAGAACAGTGTCTAAATCAATAAAAATATTTGAATGAATAAATACTGTTATCAATGCTAGTCTAATTACTATAATTGGCAATATAACAGAAAATATGATATGAACAATGTGTTACTATACTTATGCCACATGGCTACAGATTTGGTAAAGTTATAAAATAAAATGCCTACCTTTTAAAAACTATTTTATTTTATTTCTTCTTCTGACTTGTTATATCAGTCAAGATTTGTAGAATCAAAAATTTAACACATTACACATGAATTTGCCATGGTTGAGAAAAAAAAAACCAGTTTATTCTAAAAAAAAAAAAAAAGTAGTTACATTATGTATGTATATTTTGAATTGAATGTTTGTGTTTGGCTAGATGCTTTAAATAAATTTTCCATTTGAACTGTTATTAAACACATTGTCATTGTATTCATTGGAGTTAATTAGTAAAGCTTGCATACACCTATTTACCTATAACCAAAGTCCATGCTTTTTATTGTCATAAAAACTTCTTTTCGCCCTAGCTGGTTTGGCTCAGTGGATAGAGCATTGGCCTGCAGACTGAACGGTCCCAGGTTCGATTCCAGTCAAGGGCACATGCCTGGGTTCTGGCTCAGTTGCAGGAGGAAGCCAGTCAATGATTCTCTCTCATCATTGATGTTTCTATATCTTTCTCTCCCTCTCCCTTTCTCTCTGAAATCCATAAAAATATATATTTTAAAAAACTTTTTTTCTAAGAGCTATAAATTTACACCAAATTTTCTTTGTGGAAATGCAATAGAGTCCCAGATATTCAAAGTAAAACTATATATATATATATACACATATACATTGCCAGTGTTTGTATTGCACTGTATTCTTTTATATTTAACTGGACTCCTTTTTCAGAGTGCAACTTTGTATAGCATTCACATGGAAGTAACTTGAATACAACAAAAAAGGAATATGTAAAGTTATTTATTACCATTAATTATGCATTAACCTCCTGTTTAAAATCTCCACATTTGAAGTGAAAATCATAAGTGTACTTTATAATAATCATAGATTCCATTTTTTTAAAGAAAGTAGGTCAGAAAAAGAATGAGAATAAAAGTTTCTCTATTACCAGAAAACAACATTTCTAGTTCTTTTTTTCCCCAACCAAATTTGAGTTTAGGTATAACATAAAACTGCGCCCATCAGATCCCTTTCTTAGTCACATATTTGAGTATTCTGAATAGTTTGACTGAACTGGGCAGCAATTTGACTGTTCTCCAATCAATTCAGTCAAAAGGATGTCTGAATAATACTAATTAAACTGGAATATCAAGAATGAGAATAACAATGTGAAAACCACTTGTTATGTTATAGGGAATTAAAAAAATTAAAACATATAAAACTGTCAAGTTTTCACATTGCTTGTTCAGTGTATTACTAAATATGAAAAGAAACAAAAATTACCAAAGATGAAAAGAAATAAAAATGTCACCCATAATTCAGATAAAAATAAGTCAATAAAAATCAACTCTGAGATAACCCAAACATAGTGTATAGTTGACAAAGACTACAAAGAAGCTTTCATGTAAAGAGATCTAAAGAATATGTTTGAAAATTTCAAAGCAATCATAGTCTTAATGAATAAACAGAATCTCAGCTGCAACATAGAACTATGAAAAATATCAAGTAGAAATTCTAAATCTGAAAAATGCTGAATTCATTGAATGATATTAGAAGAAGAATCAACTCAGATTAATGAATAGGAATTATCCAAACTGAATAACAGAGAGAACAAGGGTTAAAGAAACTGAATAGAATCTCAGAGACATGTGGGATAATATCAAATAGTCTAATAAACTACTGGGAGCATGTGTAATTAAAGTCCCAAAGAGAAGCGTGAGAATGACACGGAAAAGTCCTTCAAAAATAACAGCTGAACATTTTACAACATTGGAGAAAAACACAGACATAATAGATACAAGTTTAATGAATACTTATCGAGACAGATATAAAATGAACTCTATATACAGAGAATAACTATTGAAAACCGATCTTGGATAAAATCAGAGAAAAAAGACTCACCACATACAGGGCAGCAATACTATAATGCAAGAATTTCTAAGCAGCTTTGGTAAGAAGAGAAAAATGTGATAGGAAAAGAACTAAAGATGGGCTTTGTTTCATGATTTTGCCTAGAACTCGCCTTGTTTAGGAGGGAAACAACCTAAATTTCTTCTGAAGCCAGTGGCAAGAAAGATAAAGAAGAGGAAGACCACTTCAAATCAGTTCTTCATGTGCTAAACAATTCCTGCAAAATCCCACAGCTTAAATATTTAATAATTCTTTAAAAATCTATTTCTGTAATAAATTTCTGAGTTGCTGCAAGTACGGCTTGTAACATAGTGTCAGAATATTGGACTTGGTCTTTTTTATTTGTTTTTCCCCTTTCATCTAATTTACTAGAGTAGTCATTGCAACATGAGACTTTTCACTTAGGCCAATTATAATTTTTCCCCAGTTTTAGTATCAATACAAGAAATCAACATTTGAAAAACTAAGGAGAATTACATAAATAGGACTGAGGAAAGGTTCATCCATTTAGCTACTAGCATGTGAGTGCCAATTTTCAGTTAGAAAAAGATAAATTCAGCCAAAAGAATGCACTTGTCAGCTAGTGTAGAGATTTCTCAAGAGTATACCTAAATGAGATGTTGCAATTCTTGCTACATGCAACTTATCATTAAACCAAAGTGGTAGATGTTGTTGCAAAAGCAGAGATAAAGTCATAATTTTTTAAAAGTAAAAAAAACAGGCTGGACTTAAACTTTTTAGCAAAATCATAGGGAACAGTTAGCTGTATGTCTGAATGAATTAATCATCAGAAGATGACTGAAATTTCAACTGCTGAATAAAAACCTACAAAGTACATATATTGTATCATCTTAAATAAAAATAAAACTATAAGGTGTTAACAGTTATTCTCTGAGTTCTGGATTTCTTAATTATTTTGAAACTCTGACACTTGTTTAGAGTTTGTTTCCAAATAATTTATAGTCAAACTAAAACATTTTAAAATTAATTTGCACAGTAAACCAGAAGTTTAGCAAAGGAAAAAGTTTAGATTTGTAGGCAGGAAGATGATCCTAACAACAAAACTATTTGCCCATTATTTCCTCTCGCAAGATCTCCTTTACGTTACAGGCTGCCATTGACCTTACGGGATACCTTTGCTTTGCTTAGCTACCAACTAAATGAGCTCTATTTTCTGAACCTAACACCCAAGTATCTTCAATGTAGATGGAGGATCTCACTAAAACTGTAACTGCTTTGTGCAGTGTATTGAGATTTGGATGGCCTCTCCTACACAGTTAATCCTTGGCCACTAAATTGTTCATGGATTTCTAGGTCGCTTATCTGTGATATTTCTAAGTTTCATTGGTGCCAATGATCTTCTCAGATATCAATTTGGAAGGTCAGTGAAGACACTGATAGTAACTAGAATAAAGACTACGGATGGCATCAATGCATGTTATCATGTGTTCGATGTTATGGTAAATCTGCACATGGATTGTCTGAAACTCACAATAATCTTGTGACCAAAAAATACTGAGTTATCACCATTTTGCCTGTGAGAAAAATGAGGCTTAGAAAGAGAAAATAATTTCCCAAGGTTACACAGCCAATAAGGGCTGGGTGAGGATTTGACTCTAGAGCCTGTATATCCCAACCCTACCTGACCCTGTTTCCAGAAAAGAGGACCCCTGCAAGGAGCAGGAGCTGACCTGATTCTGATGAAGGATGTGAATGATTGGAATACACCTGCGCTCTCTGGGCAAGTCACAGAATCTATCTGGGGCTTTGTTCCCTCTTCTGTAAAATGAAGATATTGAGTCCCATGTTCTACACGGCCACTGTGAGATCTCTGGTTACGTACCCTACAATATACCAGTTGTATAGTGTTAGTAGAAAGAACTTTTAACTTAGCCGTAGAAGTCCAAAATTCACCATTAACTTTTGTGAGTTGGGGCAAGTCTTTTAACCTCTCCAGTTATTTGCCTCACTTCAGGGTTTTGTTGTTGTTGTTTTCTAAGATGTTAGTAGCTTCAAAAAAGTGTAATATTGCACACAAAGTACTATCCCAACACCTTAAATAAATTTTATAGCATTGAAATTATGGATTTGAGTAATTATGATAAATTGGCTTCTCACTCTTTTTTCTTATTATTTAAAACACCTAATGTGAAATATTTTGAGGTAATACTTATTTGTAGTAGGTTTAAACAGAGAGGGAGGGGCAGGATGGAGGAATGGAGAGAGGGAGAGATAGAAAGAGAGAAATAACCTCCAAGGTTCCATTCACACAGGAAAAGGGTAGAGATGTGCAAAAGAGGCACGCAACCCTATAAAGAAAGGGGAAATGTACCCACTAGGACACTAGAAATTTTTAGTAAAAAGCAGCAGTGGAAAGTAAGCTATGTATACACTGACTCTTCTGCAGTTTGACCAAGTTAATGATTAGAAATGCTGTCATGTGTCACATTTTCGCCAGGGTGTCTATTTACCTTGATATTGATATTATTTTATCTCTGCGGGCCAAGGATGCCCTGGCTTCTGTATAGAGATTAATGATTGATTAGCTCATAGTCGGGAAGCTTACTAAAAGGGAACTGGTTACTCTTAGCTGCCATTTTTTTCTGGGTTACCTGCAGGAAACAGGGTGCTGTAGGACTTGCCAGCCGGGAAATGAAGAGGATCCTGTTTCTCCTGCTCACTGTGCATGCTCTGGAAAGAGGTGAGACTTCCCGTGCTGGGACCATTTACAAGAACTCTTACCAGTCTAATTGTCTGTCGCCACTTTAAAAAAGTATACAAACGTGAAAAACAGAGTAATTGGCGAGGATGTTAGGAAGAGAAGAATCAAAGCACGGTTAATCTGAGCTGAAATGTGGCCTAGAGCTTTCAACTGGAATAGCCAAGACATCAAGACAATCTCATGAAAGGAAGAAAAAGTATATAATTTGTCAATTATCCTTCCCTGCTCTTTTGATAACCAAGACCTGCGGAGAATGTTTTGAAATTGGAATATTTTTTAAAAATGTATTTGAGAGAGAGAAACATCAGTGTGTTGTTCCACTTATTTATGTATTCATTGGTTGATTCTTGTATGTGCCCTGACCTGAGACTGAACATGAAACCTTGGTGTATCGGGACGATACTCTAACCAACTGAGCTACCCAGCCAGGGCAAAATTAGAATCGTTTTAGTTAATAGAAGAAATGCAAATGGAGGCTTTGATCCATCCATGAGCACTTTTTTTCAGATTTTAAATATTTATTGCCACTGAGAGCATAATATACCATATCAATGAGGTCAACTGAGATTTGAGTCTCTTAAAGGAACCCCATACATATATTTGAAAGTACAGTGTAGTTTCTAAAATATCCCACATAAAGGAATTTAATGGCCATGAAACATGATTATCAAAAGATAATTGAGCTATATTTTATTAAGATTATTCTTCAAATAGTATCTTCATCTTTTGGCAATGTTTAAAAATCTTTTTAAATGATACAGGTTGAAATTATGTGAAGTATACAACTTTATAAAATTTTCAGCTTGGGAAATTTCCATAATCAGTTTCAATTTACTTTTCTGGATGATGCTTAAATACCTGTAAGGGATCTGCATTCATCCAGCTTTGAGGAATTAGTTTTCACTTAGTACTGTCTGTCTCACCAAAGTGATACATTAATATTCATATTAGTAATGTATTTAACCTGTGGAATAAAATGTGTATAGTCTAGGAATTATTGGTATTAAATGTGACATGAATAATCTTACTCCTGACTTATTCTATTTACATTAACTTTTCCTTGATCTTACTTTGGTTGTACAAATTTTCTCTCATTCACCAATAGATTTTAAGTAAGCTATGGGTCTTTATGTAAGACTACAAAGTCTGAGATGTACTGGGGTATAAATAAGTAACATAAATTGTGTCCCCTAAGAGACCTCTGAATAGGCCAACACCCAAGAAACCCTGAAAGCTTATTCCTTTGCCCAAGGGTTTCCCTGGAGTAGATCTGAACCTGAAAATGCCTACTGCAGCAGTGTTGATCAGGATGTTCAAAACACCAGAAGGTTCAGTAATGGCTAGCACCTGGAATTATATGTGGATGTTATAAGGTGGGACATGAGTCTCCATGTTGGACTGCTGACTCAGTAAGTGTACATTGCCTTCACCTAAAAGAGTTATAGTGTCCTTTGAAGAATAACAGAGAATTCTGCAGCCTCTATTTCGACATCCTTCAACATCCTCTGACTCTGATGAAATGGATGCTAAAGTCTGCTTGCTTGAAGGTCTAAACTTCACGTCACGCAGGTGCCATAGGTTTGACGATATTCCCTGAGACATATATAATACATTTGCAAGTAACCAATGTTTAATATTTGGCTATAGGGGTCCTGACCCTTCAGTCCTCTATTCCAGGGGTGGGGAACAGCTAGCCCGCTGGCCATATAAGGCCCGTGAAATCATTTGGTCTGGCCCTGCCAAGGCATTAGGGGTGAATTAATTAAATGTTTGACCAAATATAGCAGGCTAATTTTTACGTTGATAATTTTGTATGGCCCCCAAATAACCTTTTAAATATCAAAATGGCCATTGGCTGAAAAAAGGTTCCCCAACCCCACATACTAAGTCAGCAATGTACCTGGAAGCTAGAAGTGTGCCCTTGGGGAAAATTGCAAAGTATATGAATTAAAAGAGTTGAGAGGTGGAGGAGGATTGGATGGTGGAGGATTGTTAGAGCTGCAGTTTTCTCTGCCTGTTACAGTTCTAGATAGCTAACTGACCACCCACAGCATTTGTCTAGACCACCTTTTCTAAAAGTATTTCACTCAAGACTCATCTTAGAAAAAAGTCTCTATGGTCAAACACATTTAAGAAACAAGCTATACATTAGTCCCTCTTGGTTGGTTCACAATCACTATGTTTGTTTTCCTAAAGGTTCTGAGAAGTCCTGTAAGAAAGAAACCTTACTTAACCCAGAGTTTCCCAAATGTATTGGCTTTTCCCTAAATTGCCTATATCCTATGGGAGCATTTTTGGATATTTCCGGTCTATAATGGATACTGCTGTAGCTCAGCATGAACATCAGCCCCAGTTAGGCCAGTCCTCTCCTACCCAACAGCACTGGGGATACAGTACACAAACCCTTCTGTGTTTCTGGGGAGATGTACAGAATATGGATGGAGTCATAAGACAACACCCAATATACCTACCCCTTGAAAAACAAAACAACAGTGTTTGCCAGTTGCCTCCACCTGACTTCTTTCCCTGGGACTGAGATGAATGTAGTGCTAATCTATAATGTACTTTCCCCTCTTCCCAAAATACAAGCAAAGGCTGCTGACACAGCTATATAATTAACAAGGAGATAATGCTAACCGGAAGTATGTTATTGCAGTTCATAAGAGCTGTTGACAAGAACAGGATATTTACTATGAACACGTTCATTTTTTCGTCAAGCACTTCATTCTTAGCATATATATATTTTTACTAACCATGATACCAAATAGCAAGAAAGTCGTGGGTAAGCTGTATTTCCCCTTCTTCCATTTGCCTCTTAAAGCAGCCCTAGACAGTGTGGGCTTTCCCAATATCCCAAACCACCACTGAATCACCTCGTTTCTCTTTTCTACAAGTTGCCTGCCCCTTTAACAGTAACCACTTGAAAATTAAAGTTGCCTTTAATTTGGTTCAGGAACACAGCTGTACAGAATGCCAGAGAGAAATAATTTAGGATAAGTAGATATCCTCTCTGTTTTCCCAAATATCTTTATAAATTTTCTGCCAAACCTACATAATGGTTATTAAGGAGTTGATGTAGAATGCAAGAACTATGTGACAAAAAGGACACAGCTGTTTAAAGAGCTAAAAGTGAGTTTCAAGCAGAAGGAACGCAGGTGCAAAAGTCCTGAGCTAGGAACAAGCATGTCCAGAGTAAAAGCATAAAATAGGCTTTAGCCAAGAGCGAACAGGAAAACAGCTGAAGCCAGAGAAATAGGTAACTTCACCATCAAAGGCAACGTTAACCTCCCCAGAAATCAATAGCAATGTCACACTTCACTGTCGTGAGGTGCAATGCGAGGTTTTCACTCACCATCATGTGTGTGGAATAGGGACAAGTGTGCACACTCTTTAAAAGGCCATAAGATTAATCTCTAAGGGAAGGAGATTTTTAAAATCCTTAAAAAGAATTCATTACCCTCTCCCCCAGAATCTATGGTCACCTAACTTCGTTATTCTGCCCGCTGCTGTCCAATTTTCTCTCCAACTTCCCCCCAGTTTACTCTGCTCTAGCCACACTGGCCCCCACACTATCCGCCTCTCTATGTACTTCAGGGCTTTGCACTAGCTCCTCCCTCCTCTTAGAGCACTGATCCCCGATATCCACATGGCTCTCCTCACCCCCTTCAGGTGTCTGCTCCAAGTTCATGTATAAAGATGGCTTCCTTGAGTAACCTATCTCACATAGAACCTACCACTCCGTTTTCTTCTGTCCTTGTACCATGCTTTATTTATTTTTTAGCACTCGTCATCTGACCCTATCACTAGCTGTTCATTTGTTTATTGTAACAAATTAAAATGTAGAATATAAAATGTAGAATTTGGGCAGAACCAGAATTTTATCAGTTGAGTTTACAAGGCAATGTTATCACTGCTGCCCTTATTTGAGATACCTCAAAATCTTTCAATGAAAACCAAGAGAAATAACCAGTCACTAACACCAACGTAAAGGGAATTTAGTGAAGTTCATGCTGCCTACTATGAATCATCCAGCTGGTCCAAAAACCCGTTCATCGCTATCCCATAAAACTGGCTCTGTCTCCTAACTTCCCTTTCTTCCTGACACCACATTATCGGAATCATTTACATTCAGTCCTGTACAGCCTTCTTGGATTTTTAAATTCATTTTTATTAGCCTTATTCAATCTTTCCACACTGTGTAAATTTCAGCCTTGAAGTGGCTCAGACTTGTACAAAGCATTCGACTATAGAAACCTCCTCAGCATCCTTTTTGTCTCCTCCTTTATCTCCGACATATGCCTGGCTCTCCAGGCCTGTGAACACACCACTCAAACCTGTGTTTCCACTGACGTTTCCATACGCTGTCCTTATCCAGACCCTCGTTCCTCTTTACTGGGCTATTGTAATGGCTTCCTACTCTAATCCTTACCTCCCATCCCTTGCCCAACCAATTCATATTATTAAAATACAATAAAAACTTGGCATAATGTGATAAATAGAGTCCATAAATGAACTGATTATATTTTTTACAAATCAGGATACTATTTTGGTGAGATTATAGGGATCAGGCTGTCTAATACAAATCCACCCCAAGTCTAGAGCCTTTTTTACTAGTACCATGGAAACAACATTGGGCATTTTCCTTTCTTCTCTTGGATCCTCGATCCAAGTCTGCCATTCTTGCATGGATAGTGCCTGATAATGAGTCTTCAATTTCTCACTGAATTTTGGAAAATTGTATTTCATTAAGGAAAAAAAGTTTGTTGGTACTTCAGCATAATAATTACATACTATAGAATTGTTTTGGCCTTGTAAAACGTTTATAGAAATAATTTTATTAATAATAGAAAAGGATGATTACTAACATTTAAAAAGGAAGTTTCTCTTTATAAAATAATGCTAATTATGGTAACCTATTGGACTTAAAAATGCATTTAAATGGTTCAAGGTATCTTCTTGATAAAAAACATGTATGATAA